GAAAAAAAAAATTATTCAAAAAAATTACTTAAAAATAATTAATTGAAAAAAAAAATTATTTTCTTATTTGAGTATTTTAAAAATAGTTTGGTTATGACTGTTGATAAAAAATACGGATATTGAGTTATGAGTTGTGTGTTTGATTATCAGTTATAGGTTGAATTAAGTTTTTAAAATTATTTTAAAAACTCATCACCAAACAAATTTTCTTATTTCACATGTCACATCAAACTTTCAAAACTCAATTCAACACTCTATTCAAAAGCCATAATTAAACAAATTTTGTACACTAAAATCATAATTTCATAACTCACAAATTCAAAATAGAACTTATACTTTCAAATTATATTTACAAAACTCTACCAAACGCAACCTACATTTCTTTTTTCCAACTTGTCTCGCCTTTTTCTCTCACTTCAAAAACTTTTTTTTTTCTTCATCTTTTGTTTCTCTGACGGCAAATGCAATCACTACACCACTTTCAATTGTCTTCGCCACATCCAAATTCTGCAATATTGGCCACCGTTGGGCGTATTTATTTATTTTTTCTTCTATCATCTATATTTTATTTTGCCCTTCTCTTTCACTAACAATGCACAATCACTACACTGCTGTCAATTGTCATTGTCACATTCCAATCCTGTAAAATTAGCCACTGTTGAGCATATTTATTTATTTATTCTCTTATCATCTACGCATTTTAGTATTTAATAATGAATCGCAAGAAGAAACATAGACAGAAAGAATAAAAGGATGAGCGAGAAAAAAAATGTGGGAGAAAGGTGATGAGAGGGAGAAAAATGTAGAGAAACATAGCATGTAAGAAAACAAATGTTGGTTTCCTGCTTTGATAGTGCGTGGCAATGAAAAATGTGTCTTGTTAGGCTTATGCCAACTTAACAACTGTAGGTGATCGGGGGTTCGAGTAGAGATGAATAAGGAATTTGTAAAATTCATAATTCAATTTGGTTAAGTTCAATCTAGTAGGTTTGGATTGATTTTTTGAATTCATGGTTCGGTTTCGGATTGAAAAATTAAAAAATCGTAGTCCACAAATCAATTTTGAATTAAAACCGATCTGGACCGTATACAAATAGCTTATATTTATATTATATACCCTCCCGTATAGTATCTTCACGTATTTCATATAAAACGTAAACCCCAAACCCCCATAGTATCTTCTTTTATAACTTTTGTATGTTATTTTTTAGTTTTAATTTGTAATGATCTAAATACTTATGGTATAACCAGTTTTCTTATGGTTATTTAAATTCTATAACAATATGTCACTATTATGGAAAGACATTTTACTATTATGGAACTAATATAATACTATATTTATGTTTTTGTGCAATTAAAATGTTATATAGTTTTTATTTATTTATTTATGTAAATCCGTGGTTATAAATCGATTCAATCCGTGTTTAAATGGATTGGTTCAACAATTTAAATGGACTGGATTAGTTTCAATTTTTCAGAAACTATAGATAACGAATTGGTCATGATTTTATCTCAATCCAGGCTATGCTCACCCCTAGGTTGGAGACTGCTACAAAGACCACTGACCCTTTTTTTTTTTGGAAACTACTACAAAGACCACCACCCAATTTGAGGTTATTTTAGTCACACAAATATAAAATAAGTTAAAAAGTTAATAAGATAAAATATCACATTCAAATCATAATCATTTCATTTTTTTTCTCACAAAAGTCAAAAAAGTTAAGAAGTTTATTTCAAACGAGACTTTTTAAGCCCAGACTAAAAGTTCGTTTGGGAAGTGGGTTGATTTTTTGACTATTTTAGTCTGGGGCTAAAAAGCCTCGTTTCAAATAAATTTTTGACTTTTTGACTTTTTTTTAGAGAAATAATGTAATGATTATGAGTTAGATATAATATTTTAGCAGTGTTTGAGAAGTTGTGGAGTAGGCTATTTTATCCTCAAGTTGGAAAAAAGCCATGTAGCTCGGCATTGTAGCTACACCATTGATTTATATTAAAAGAAAAAAAAAATTGTAGCTCTACAGCCTATGGTCAGTGGAACTGCAGCCTGCCACTATCACTTGATTGCTGTCCCACCGGTACAAAACGACACTTTTGCCCCTTTACACTAATTTTGAAAAAAAGTGGGATTAGGGACAAATTTGTCATTTCAACCTCAAATATAATTTCAAATACATTTTTTAATACAACAACTTAAATAAAAATTCATCCCATCTTCCCAAACACAAAAACTAAAATAGCCTATTAAAATAGTCAAAAAACCTCTAAAATAGCCACTTCCCAAACACCCACTTTGTCTTATTAGGGTAAAAACTTATTCCTTTTTGTGGTTAAAATAGTTCCAAACCCAACTCAGGTTGCCAAACGAAGGCTAAAAAAACTAAAAATACTAAAAAAACATTCCACATTCTAAACGAAGGCTAATTGAACTATTTGTTTCCAAGACACTATTTCATAATTTCAAAATAAGACTTTGTAAAACATTGAAGTTTGAAAAACAAGTTAAAATCATTCAGGGTGTGTTTGGTAACTTTTACGATTTCAGTTTATATTTAAAAAAATTTTATAAACTGGTTTTTATTTATTTATTGTTTATTTTTAGAAAAACATAAATTACAAACGCGTTTGGTAATTGACAAAATGTTTAAAAAAAATTTAAAATATAAAAAAGAGTGAGAAATGGCAAGTGGCGGCGGAAGACGGTGGTGAAAAGTGGTGACGGTGGGTGGTGGGTAGCTGGTGGTAGTGGGTGGTGGCGGGTTGGTGGTGGTGGTGGTGGTGGTGGTGGGTGGGTGACGTCCGAGTCTTAAGGTCGGTCAAAAATGGGGTGTCTACAGGTGTACAATCATTTTAAGTATGTTAATGGTTGTTAGTGCACCCGTGAAGAGACTTCTTTTCTTGATCACTAAAGTTGAGTGCATTACTGACTTTGTTAGTAAAGAAAACCTGGATACCCTCTAAATCTTGAGTCCAACTCCTCTATGGTTATTTTGTGCAGTAGGTTATAAAGCAAGTTTTTGACTGGTCAATAACTTGTGAGCATGGCTAGACATAAGATTTGAAACAAGAAAGGAAGTACATGGACATATACACTTTAGAGGTTGTTTGAAATGTATTAAAATAGACATGTTATTTTAGCAACAGATATCTTTTCTATACTATTTCACCCTCTTAATATTGCTTTTATCTTATCCTGGATATGAGTAAGTTCGAATGTTGTCAGCTTTTGTACTAATTTTATTGCAATATTAATCATACTTAATTTGCACTATGGTTTATTTTATTGGTTACGAAGAGTCTTGTTTGAGGTGGTTGTATGATAGAACCAGTGGAAGGCAGTCGGTTGCTTTGTTGACAGTCTCATTTTTTCAATTGTTGCAAATGAGATCAGAAGCCTCAAGTTATTGTTGGCATTTCCAAATACTCCAAATACTTCATGATCAATAAAACATTGTTGCCATGAGCATGGGTAGGCTTATTTTGTTTACTTCTTACATTAAAATTTCCATTTTTTTCCCCAGCTGTCTACATAAAGATGTGACAAGCGTTTATCTTGAATCTTTATATACCATAGCCTTTGATCATTAACATCCTCAATCTCTCTGTCGCTTCCGCTCCAACTTATTTCCACTGTTTAGAACTTGAAATGTAATGATGTTCAAGAAATTGATAATCTATACGGGATTCAATACCCATTTCAAAAGCAGCTTTGTCACGTTTATATTGATATAACTTATAAGCATGGTTATAATTAGCATAAACGTAGGAAATTTTCCTATTGTAATTTGTATCTGTAGCGTGTGGTTTTTTTGTAGACAGAATATCTTTCGTATGAGAATACTCATATATATATTACGTGTTGTATAAAATTTTGAGATAAAATATTCTATATTCTTTAGAAATATACTTCCAATTAATGGAATTTAAAGAAAATATGGAATTTATATATCTCATTCATTTGATAAGTTAGAAATATTAGGTTAAACCTTAATAGATGTGAGCATTTTTTTCTTCGATAAATGTCTCATATCCTTGCCTTGTATACTGAGAGAAATTGAAGAATCGTAATGCAAATTGCAATATGCAAACCTTGGAGCCAAGAGAATAGTGATGATGGACCTGGGTTTGATATTTTTTTTATTTATTGTGATGATAGTTACAGGAAGGTTCTGTGGCTTTCCACATTCAAGTCCATTAATTGGTTAGCAATTTCAATGTTTTTAGATAATATTATTAGTTTTTAGTTTTTAGTTTATGTCATTAACTTTCAATGTTTATGTCCTGAATTTCATAAACTAATGTTGGCCATGTAAACTGCAAATCATTGGTTAGTGATTTCCTTGAATAAAATTTATGTAACAATTGTCTAGTTGAAGAGGTTGTCCTGATTGTCTAGTTGAAGAGGCTATCCTGATTGGTGAATTTTACTTTCAATGATCAATGTTAGTTTTTGATGTGTTCCTATTTTTCAGAAGTTTCATCTTTTCACAAATCCTAAAGATCAGAAGGTTAATGAGTTGACTTCTTTGTTACCTTTACTTGATGGTGTTTCCTAGAGGACTATTGTGTTAATAAGAGAGTGAAGAATATCCCTTCTTTGGGTCTTTTTCTTGTAAATCTTTCTTTGATATTTGATTACTTAAATTGACTGCTTTAGAAACTCAATGTGGCATATTGTGGGTTTTCTTTCTGTGTCATGTTATCTGCTTTTTACTCTCAGCTCACTGCTTTATTGGTTAAATTTTCTCTGAATTATGATATTTGTCTTCTCATTGATGGTTATTTTGTTGTGGTTTATGTTTTGGTTATGAATACTTCTTCTTTTTACGCTAAATTGCTTTGGCTATTTTCTCACATGATTTATGTGTGGTTGTAATTTATATAACTCAGTATAATCATTGGACTTGAAATTTTTTTAATTAAAATATATATATATATATTTTTTTCTATATAAAATTTGTCCTATTCACCTAACTTTAATTAACTCGGCATAGTCAGACATGGACAAAAGTTGGATTGCATTAGGTAGCACAGTTGATGGAAGGATAAGTCGGGCATATAATGATGGGGTAATATCATTTCTTCGTTTTGGAATGGCGGTTATCGATCAAGATGGTAAAATTTTGTGCCCTTGTCGAAAGTGTGCGAATGTTGTTCATCAAAATTTTCAAATTGTTCAAATTCATTTGCTGCAACATGGGATTATTCCAACTTACACTATCTGGCATGTGCATGGGGAACCCCGTGAATCAAACGAGGCTTATCATCATGATATACCCGTTGAGGGCAATGAGGTTTTGGGAGGTATTGATGCCTTAGTGGAAGATCGAATAAGAGGGGAATCAACTAATACAACTCAAGAGGAGGAGGTTCGCACTTTTGATAAATTATTGAATGATACCAAATGTGAGGTGTACCCAGGTTGCACAAATTACACTTTGTTAAAATTTGTCATCGAGATACTTAATATGAAGGTAACAAACCATTGGAGTAATAAGTCAGTTGACATGATACTAGAGTTTTTAACAAAACTTTTACCGAACGATAAGTTGGTTCCAAAGTCAACTTATGAAGCTAAAAAAATACTACGTGAATTGGGTTTGTTATACGAGCTCATTGATGCTTGTGTAAACGATTGTGTGCTCTTTTGGAAGGGGAATGCAACACTAGATAAATGTCCAAATTGTAAGGCTTCTAGATACAAGACAAATCATGGTAGAGGTAAGAAGATCTCTCGTAAGGTTCTTCGATACTTCCCGTTAACACCGAGATTGAAAAGGTTGTACATGTCGAGGAAGAGAGCCGAGGATATGAAATGGTTCAAGGAAAAACGTCTAGATGACGGTGTATTGAGGCATCCTGCAGATAGTGATGAGTGGAAGGAATTCGATACACAACATCCTGAATTTGCCTTGGAGCCTCAGAATATGAGGCTAGGGTTGGCTACTGATGGTTTCAACCCTTTTGAAATATGAATAACTCATATAGTTTGTGGCCTGTCGTACTCATTCCATACAACTTGCCACCGTGGTTGGCTATGAAGGACCCATTTTTCATGTTGTCATTACTTATTCCTGGTGAATCACAACCAGGAATTGATATTGATGTCTACATGAGACCTTTAGTGGAAGAATTGAATGAATTATGGAAAAATGGTACATTAACCTATGATGCCTCGACTGGTGAGACTTTCTGCATGCGTGCAGCTTTGCTGTGGACGATACATGATTGGCCCGCATTTGGTGACATTTCTGGATGGAGAACAAAGGGTCATTACTCTTGTTACACTTGAAATGATGAACCATATTTTGAATCTTTAAGAAGTAAGACTGCGTACAGTAACCATCGATGCTACTTGCCTGATGACCACCCAGAAAGGCGAAAGAGTAGAGCATATAATGGCAAGCATGAAAAACGGAAGAGATCTTTGGTGATACCGATAGAAAAGATTGAAGAACAATTGGGCAGCGTGACGGGTGTCACATATGGAAAACATCCAAGCAACAGGAAAAGACCTCGTCAGAACCCAAATTGGACAAAGGTAAGCATCTTGTATGAGCTACCGTATTGGAAGAAAAGGAGGCTTCGACACAACATTGATGTCATGCATGTGGAGAAGAACTTTAGTGAAAATGTTTTTGGAACGATGTTGGGAATTGATGGAAAGAACAAGGATACAGATAAGGCACGAATGGATTTAGAAGACATGAATATAAGGAAAGAATTGTGGCTAACAACAAATCCCGATGGATCATATGTGAAGCCGCCATATTGTGGGTTTTCTTTCTGTGCCATGTTATCTGCTTTTTACTCTCAGCTCACTGTTTTATTGGTTAAATTTTCTCTAACTTATGATATTGTCTTCTTATTGATGGTTATTTTGCTGTGCTTTATGTTTTGGTTGTGAATACTTCTTCTGTTTACGCTAAATTGCTTTGGCTATTTTCTCACTTGATTTATGTGTGGTTGTAATTTATATAACTCAGTATAATCATTGGACTTGAAATTTTTTTTAATTGAAATATATATATATATTTTTCTATATAAAATTTGTCCTATTCACCTAACTTTAATTAACTCGGCATAGTCAGACATGGACAAGAGTTGGATTGCATTAGGTAGCACAGTTGATGGAAGGATAAGTCGGGCATATAATGATGGGGTAATATCATTTCTCCGTTTTGCAATGGCGGTTATCGATCGAGATGGTAAAATTTTGTGCCCTTGTCGAAAGTGTGTGAATGTTATTCGTCAAAAATTTCAAATTGTTCAAATTCATTTGCTGCAACATGGGATTATTCCAACTTACACTATCTGGCACGTGCATGGGGAACCCCGTGAATCAAACGAGGCTTATCATCATGATATACCCGTTGAGGGCAATGAGGTTTTGGGAGGTATTGATGCCTTAGTGGAAGATCGAATAAGAGGGGAATCAACTAATACAACTCAAGAGGAGGAGGCTCGCACTTTTGATAAATTATTGAATGATGCCAAACGTGAGGTGTACCCAGGTTACACAAATTACACTTTGTTACAGTTTGTCATCGAGATACTTAATATGAAGGTAACAAACCATTGGAGCAATAAGTCAGTTGACATGATGCTAGAGTTTTTAACAAAACTTTTAACGAAGGATAATTTGGTTCCAAAGTCAACTTATGAAGCTAAAAAAATACTACGTGAATTGGGTTTGTCATACGAGCTCATTGATGCTTGTGTAAACGATTGTGTGCTCTTTTGGAAGGGGAATGCAACACTAGATAAATGTCCAAATTGTAAGGCTTCTAGATACAAGACAAATCATGGTAGAGGTAAGAAAATCTCTCATAAGGTTCTTCGGTACTTCCCGTTAACACCGAGATTGAAAAGGTTATACATGTCGAGGAAGAGAGCCGAGGATATGAAATGGTTCAAGGAAAAACGTCTAGATGACGGTGAATTGAGGCATCCTGCAGATAGTGATGAGTGGAAAGAATTCGATAGCCGTGGAGCCTCAGAATGTGAGGCTAGGGTTGGCTACTGATGGTTTCAACCCTTTCGGAAATATGAATAACTCATATAGTTTGTGCCCTGTTGACCCTTTTATCTTGCCTAGTCAAGCTAAGCTAGTGTTCTACCTGAATGACACCAAATGGGGGCAACCTTGGCAAGTCGTGCAACGGGTCCAACATAGAGGTGTGTTTGATGTGCCAGAGGTTGGTGATGGAGAACCACCAGATCAACCAGTATTTAATGATGCATTCCAACAAGAAAACATTAACTCAGTTGTCCCGATCAACATTGAAGATATTATTCGATTTCATAGGGATGATATTGAAGCTGAGGTTATTTCAAATAAAACAAAGAGAGATGGTAGAGATGATGAAGAAGATGAAGAACTTGGCGTACTTGATGATGATATGGATCTTGATATGGAACCTGATATGGATTATGATATGTAGTTTTGTTTTTTTTAGGTTTTTATATGGACATATGTTTTTAATGCATTACATGGTTATGATATATTTTGTTGCGTCTCTTCAAGTAAAATTATGCTTTATATTTTATGTTTTATATCAATTTATGCTTTTTAGTTACCAAAATGGCCAAAGGGGAGAAACAATGGATCAAACCAAGTTTTCTAGCGAAACAGAAGCGAACAGAGTACGAAATGGAAAGATATAAGACAATCAAGAAAAATGATAAGAAAATGGATGCTCTACAATTGAAGCGTATAATAGCTTCTTTGATGGGTTCTACTCAGCCCAATCGTGTTCATCAGAAGGGAAAGAACATTAGGGTAGATGATGACGACTACATACCGTCAGATCATGAGGATGACACTGATGTTGAGTCCTTTGAAAGTGTTGACGATGAGGTACTATATGTATGGCCATTCATTTTTTTTTATTATGTCACCGATAGCTATATATTTGTTAATGATGCTTTGTTAATACTATCTTTATATTTCCGTATACTTTATTGGATAAGATTACAAATATCAACAGTGGCCTTGATGGGTTTCCATATACATATCTTTACTTATCCATTTTTATGTATTTATTGTTTATGCTTTTGTATTATGTTTTTTAGGGCTTACCAATCCCACCAAAACGATTGGCGCAGTCATCTCTTCAACCTTCGCACGAGGCAATTGTTGTTCCAAATGGGGATTTACATGACAATGTGGATACCTAACACTCAGCCACTTGATGTCGATATGGAGGCACTGAGGGAGGCTGCCCCCAATCTAGTGTCGGTAAGATACTGAATTTTACTAAGCTAAGGAAATTCTCTGTTTTAATATAATTCTATGGTGTAAAAAATTTCAAGCAATTTGTTTCATAGGGATTGATTTTTTATTTTTTATTTTAGTTTTGGTCTCACTTTTAATTTTTTGTCATATAACACACAAAGTTAACATCTCTATTGGAGATGCTCTTAGTTTTCAAGCATTCCTAGTTCTTTGAACAAAAACATTGAAGAAGGAGAAATTATTGGGTATAGAAAAGGGTATAGCATGACATTGTTATGTGATAGTACTCGTCACCAATCATTAATTGCCACCTTTCATACTATTAGACAAACCATTAATGTTAATGGGATAAGCGATAAGCCCTATCCTGTAAACCAAACTCAATCAAAGAAGGCACCACGTGACAATACTTTGGTACCCAATAATTGCATGTGAGAAAAATCAAAGAATTGACTTGGTAGATGAAACTCTCTCTTACCCTGCGTGATACCTAGATTTGAGTATTACAACTAAGCTAGGTAGTTGCTTCTTTCTCTATTTGGTTCATACAAATTTGAAAAAACAACAAAAACAAAAATAAAAACAAAAACAAAAATAAAAACAAAAAAAATTCAGTGGTAAAGGATTGAAAGCAACAGATTATGGCTAGGAGTGGTAGAAGTCCTTCCTGACGTTCTGGAAACTCAAAACAGGTTGTGATAAAGATGTGGCATCCGATCCATTGCCATTGTTGTTGCCATTGCAGGTTATGTTTAATGAAACAGATTGTTATCTACTTCTGCTGAAAGTGCAAGAATTTATTGAACTAGGGGAAAAATAAAAACACTTCATATTTGCTTCAAGTGTTGTTATGGGGACGCTGACATTTTGGAGTTTCTGTTTTCTCACACAAACAAAAGCTTTACGTGGTTTCATGTTAAACATGATTTAATCAGAATTATGTCAATAAAAGGAACATGATTTAATCAGAATTTGTGGGCAAAGGCCAGTGGTAATGCAGTTTTTTTTTTTTTTTTAAAGGATTTTCTTTGTTTGGTAGCTGAGAATATCTGAGAAAGAGGGGAAATAGGAAAGAAAATAAAATGTTGTCCTTTTGTGCCATCATGCTACTGCTGTTTCTAAGATAGTGAAAACCTTTCCAATAGTTTCCATTGTGCTTAATTGGGTGAAAATATCTGTCTACCTCTGTCTATGAAGTTGTGGAATTAGTAATTGAAGAATCTGAGGACCAAAATTTTGATTTCATTTCTTTGCTCATACTCAATTTTTTTTCAGGAGAAATTGTTGGGCTTTTTACGTGAATTGCTTGTTGGGTTGCTTCGTTTGTGATGAGGATTTACCGGGTGGTAATGACTTAATGCACTTGAGGATTTTGCTAACTGAAGAACTGGACCTCGAAATTTTTTGGAATTTAATCTTTAATTGTTGCCTTGCCTTTGTTGTACTACACTGTAATACATTTTTCCAAGTTGTAGTTTTTGTTTAAATGCTTAAATTTAGAACACTATTGTGATATGCTCAAATTTCATATTTGCTGTGTTGGATCCCAGATGGGAGTAGGCCTATAAAATCTGGGTTATGTGAAATCTTAGGTTAAATTGTGTAGCCAAGCTTGCAATATTGGTTTAACAGCATAAAGACCAGGGTATACCCTAACATAAAGGTCCTCACTGGGGTAATCACAGCCAACCTTGAGCCCAAAAAATTATGCAATTTGTGGGTAAAGAACACTTCATCACCACTGATGGAAGCACCCAAGGTACTGAAATTGTGGTGAGAGTAGCTGAGCTACTTACCAAAACAGAGAAGGAGACTAGTGCTCTATAGGAGAAACAGAGAAGGAGACTAGTGAATAGAAAGCAATAGCAGTACGGTAAAGAATCAGCAGCTGCAGCAACTACAGAACAAAGCAGCAGCTGTATAGGAGAGACTAAACAGAAACAAAGAGTAGGGAAGAAATTGGCAGTAACAGAGAAGAACAAAAAAGCTGCAGAGGTAAGAAAGAGTGAAGAAACAAGAAAATGAAAATGGAATAGCAAATATAACTGTGAAAAAGAGAAAACAACTTGAGAAATGAAAAGCATCAACTTCAGAGTAGGGAAGAAAGCTGCAGTTGTACCTGTGTGGCTGCTGCTAGTGCTGTTTGTGCAGGGCTTTTCTTGGGTTTATTTTCTATCTTTGCTTGCTTTTTCTCTCTCGAGGGTTGTGCAAGTGCATTTTGTATTGTTTTTGGCTAGTCTATTGAATGTTCATAGCCCTTTTTTCCTCATGTGGCAAATGAACATTCTTTTGTGTGGTTTATTTTAGGATGATTCTCTTTATAGTTTATTTAGTTTAGTTTATCTGTTTGGTTTTGTTTCTCTTTTGTAGCTCTAGTTTTTTTTGTTTGGTGTTGCAAGGCCTGGGTAATGCCCCTCGTATATCTCTATATGTTATCATTTTATTTTATGACTTACTAAAAAAAAAAAATTTACTTATATTGCTTTTATGATTTCGCTTTAATTAATTGCTAACCAGTCAATGTTATGTCTTTAAAACCGTGCCTAGTAGACACCCTCATGGCTTGACACGTGGGCTGAAGGTTCAAGCAATGGTTCAAAAAGATGGAAAGCTCAAAGTTCCCATACCACAGGAGTATCGTGCGCCAGTGGGGGATCATGCCTCTCAATTAGTCTCCAAAATTGGTGTTGAGGTCCGAACACACTTGCCAGACTTTAGCATTCGCAGGTGGAAACATGTCAACGAAGAAGTTACGGCACCTATGTTTCAGCGTCTAATGGTAAAAGTTTTACATAATTGATTGAATTAATGTAATATAATTAATCATGACTTACAAGATTTGTGGTTGTTGCTAGGATCAATTTGACATGGAAGGTGACCCCACAAATGTTAGCAAAGCAGTGGCAACAAAGTGTGGACGGAGCTTGAGCAGCCACACCTATAGACTACGAAAAAAATACCTGAACCTTAAAATTGCTAAGGGAGAGGAGTATGCTAGAAGCCACCCACCGCTTGAATGTGACCTCGAGAAATGGAAAAACTTGATTGACAAGAAGTGGAATGATACCAATTGGCTGGTAAACTTTTCTTATGTTTGTTTGTTGTTGACAATTACCTTGTCTTCCTAATATATATATTTTTCTATTGGAACTTGCTCCTTGTAGAAGCAATCAAATGCTAACATTGACAATAGAAATCAATTGAAGATGAAGCATAGGTGTGGGTCAAAATCTTTCCCAGTTAGGGTACACGAGGCGGTGGGTTTTCTTTAATTTTTTTTCCTTTTTTTTTTTAAAGATGATTCTACTACCATCATTCTTATTTAACTTACTAGTTGAACAAAAAAAATCAGACAATTGCAAATGGGGGCCAACTGCCAGAGTTGCCATGTGTTTACAAATCTACACACTTTAATGATGTCACAAAGCAGTGGATTTCTCCGGAGTGCGAAGAGAATTATGTATGTATATTTACCTTTTGTATTAGGATGATTGCAATTTTAATTGTATCTTTATTCATTTTTCTATTTGTTTTTTTAAATGACAGGATAATATGATAAAGATCCAAGATGAACATTGCTCCCAACCTGGTGTGGTTCCAATTACTCCGGAGGAGCTATCTGTGAAGGTGCTAAAGCCAAGGTCGGGATATGTTAAAGGACTCTGGTTGAGGCGTTCCTTCTCTGTCAGGACTACCAGTGCTTCGACTGACAGTGACTATGTGAGGCGTCTAGAGATGGAAATACAAGAGCAAAAGGAGGAAATTCAGTCATAAAAAGAGGAAATTCAGTCACAAAAAGAGGAAATTACAGCACAGAAACGTGAAATTCAAGTACAAAAAGAGGAAATTCAAGCACAAAATAAAGAGATAGGGAAGATGAATGGGTCGATTGACGAGCATTTTGAGATCACATCAAGCATCATGGAGCTTCTTAAGAAGCAAGGTTTCAAAGGACAATTTAGAGGATAAGATATCCCATGAACTCGTACATCGCCTTTTTGGTAAGTCTCGCTCGTTTTATCATTTTATTTTTCTCATGTTGGTTAGTATATACTAGTTAAAGTACAACAGTTTGACTACTTATTAACTAAGATTTAACAAGTTTGAAGATGTATTTAATGAAAATAGATTCATTATCAAAATTCTTACTTAGCATGACTCTAGTTAAAATACACACTAACCAAAGTAGAGACAAAAATAAGTCAGATAATAGTCTTCTGTTAAGTGTGCTTGTATCTGTGGATGTTGGTGTAAACACCCCATTTTTGACCGTCCTCAAGACTGGGACGTCACCTTATGAACACTCGGTGATCATCCATGTTTGTGTTCGTCTTGAGTTCCCAGAGGTCTCGGCTTGCGCGCCTTGCCTCAGGATCTCTTGATTCGACCGCGTTGTGTCTGGTCTTGCACCAAACACTTGTGTTTTGCCTTGGAAGGGCAGGGAATGCCTTGTGAGGCATCCCCACACATCACTGGCCATAGCCAGAGGCCACCGGCTGGTGTTTTGTTGCCATCGGCAATGTATATTGCCGGTCGGCATTCTTTGTTGCCGGTCGGCAGTCCATTTTGTCAAAATAGAAATTTTGAGCAGCCGACTACTGTTCATCTACTTTTGCAGATATTTTAATACAGCTGTATGGCATTTTGTTCCCCTCCATACACGTGTACGGAGGGATGGCCTTCTTGTTAGCTTACCTTGTAAGCTTTACAAGATTGGCTCCTCTATAAGAGGAGCCCTCCTCTCTTGGCTTGAGGGTTAGAAAAAAAAGGGTTAGACATTTTAGACAGCCATTTTAGGGTTTGAGTTCTAGGGCTAGGATTTATACATATTCTATCTCTATACCTCTCTCTCATTTGGCCTTTGTGTGTGTATAAGTGTGTTTATGTCTTACTATTGCACACAAACACATAGTGTTACACCTTTTCTTGGTTCTTGAAGGGCCAGAGGTTTGTTCTTGAAGCTTGGGAGCTGTTTTGAACCCAAAGGAGCTGCTGGAGCTTCATTTGTTAAAGAGGTCTTCAAGGGTAACAATCTTGCCCTTTTATTCCCCATTCTGGCATACTATTTTTGCCTATTTTAGAACTGTTTTTGAGCTTAGTGTATAATATAAAAAAGTTCTGTTTTTGGGCCCTCTAAATAGTTTGTTTAGAGTGTTTTGTGGTTTGGAGGTGTTTGACCCCTCTTAGGCCTTGAGAGGCCCCATTTTGTGCTATTTTGAGTGAGCTCCGGGACCTTGGTGTTTAGGCCTCCTCACCACTGAAATCTTGAGGGATTTTAGAGGTGAGGATGGTGCCTTGAGGTCTTATGGAGGAGAGGGCCACCCCCTCTCCTTGTTGTCCTTGAAAAGGACCATTTTTGGCCTCTCGAGGGAGCACCTAGCTAAGCTTCATGTTGACCATGCCTTAGCTAATTTTTGTGCTTATTATGTCATAATATGCCTCTGTTTTTTTGTTGGTTTTGGTACACCATGCATGCTTAGCATACCTACCTTGTAATGCCATGTTTAGGCCTTAACATGCCTTAGGTTGTAAACCATTGTTCAAGCATGTTTTAGGTCTAGCTTTGTGAAGATTTTATGCTTATTTTGCCATGCTAAAGGTCTGTCCTTAGTCATTTTGGTCGGCCATGATGTGTTTGGTATAGCCCCTTTGCATTCCGGCTTGTTGGCCTTAAGTGTGCGAGTGTGTAGCATGCATTACTTGCTTTGTTTTAATGATTTGGCACTGTTTATAGCATCATTTCAGTCCCCTTTGCATGCTTGTATGCTTGCCTTGGATGCCTCTTTGATGACTTATGAGCTTGTGTGGTATGCTCCTTGAAAGTGCATTTGTGCATACTTTTGAATTCAAGCCATTTAGATGCCATCTAAGTGGTCTTTTGGGCTTTGCTTTATGTGCTAAAACTCTGTTTTTGGTCATTAAATTCATGCCATGTTTGGTCTTGCTAAGTGTAGTTCAATACTTCATTAGCTTGCCTTGAATGCTTAGTCCATTTGTTGCATGTTTAGCCTATCTTGTTTGCTTGGTTTGACACCATATTCTTGCATGATTTTCAGAGCTTAATGCATGCCCCATGTCCATGATTATTCCGTTTTAAGTGTGCTTAAAAGAGTCCCTTTGATGCTTAAGCGTTTAGGCCTTAACATGTGCATGTGTGTATGTGTGTTTGGTCCCATCTTCTTAAGCTTTGGCCACTGTTTTGGACCTAACTTAGAGCCGTCCAATTAGTGTAAGCCCATCCCTTGCATGCCATTCAAGTGTTGTTACATTATCCCATGTTTGCATGCTTTGGTTGCATGTGTCGTATGCTTGAAATCATTTGCATTTGGCATGCATTCCCTTGGTTAAATTACTAGCATGTGGCATGATTAGATTACATCTTGCATGCTCTAAGTAGTTTGCATAATTGTGGCATGCTTGTTTGCCTTGTTGCTTAGGTTGCGTACCTCATATGCATTGCATGTTTGCATGCTCCCTTTTATACCATGTTGCATGTTAGTTAGCATGCTTAGGTTGCATTGAACATACATGCCTTGTCCCTTGATTTAGTGATAGGGATTGGGCCCCTTTGGTTTGTTTGTGTGCATTACATTTGAAATTAAAGTGCACACTTGATTCTTCGGGCCATCACGCATTGAAATGCGCGATTGGTGGTCCGAGAACCAAGGAGCGTATCCCTTTGAGTCACTAGCATGATAAGGGACATGATTGGTGCATACATTGCTTGAGTTGCATTGCCATGCAAAGTCTTGTCCTCTGCTGCTGTCAAACAGGTTCTGCAGGCACTTTCTGCTGATCGACTAAATAGAGTGCCGACCGGCAACCCCTCGATGGCCGATGGATGCATTCATGGCCGATGACCACCAGATCACAGCCGGTGATGATTCCTTCCAGCGGGTGGCATTCCCCAGTATCCAGAGAAGCAATTCTGAGACTTTGACAGTCCTCAGAGGAGCAGAGCAGGGAAAACAGAGGCAGATTGCGCATGGCAGTGCACTTCCGAGCAAGATCCGAGCACGCGCGCATCGAACCCTCTTCCCGAGGCCCCTTTTATTGCTTTTCTTATGCTTACTTTTCTTATGCTTAGTTAATTTGTTAATTAATTAGGTGATTTGTAATAACTAATTAGCTTGCGAGTTAGTTAATTTGTATTATTCTTTCGGTTCCTCCGAGCGAGGGCGAATTTGTAATAAGTGTGGGTGAGTGTGTGCATGTCTTCCAACCCCCACTTCTTTCTCCCTTTTACTTACCTGCTTTGATGGTTAGTAATAGGTCATGTTTAATTTAGCATACCTTATGCTATACATGCGTGCATCCATACATTTGTCTTGCATGCACCGGGCTCGGTACATCATGCTAACTGCATTTGTACTTCAATTCCAAATTGAATACGTGCATCAATTGATTGCATTTCACATGCCATGTTTAGGTTAGCCGAGCCTACTCTAATTGCATCCTGCATGTGTTGCATTAGTCAATTTGACATGAACTAGGACCATGCATGTTGGCTAACTAGTTTATTGTTTTGGCATGGAGTACGACGTAAGTATTTTCATGCTTTAGCATATCGCATGCGTGTGAATGTTATCATAACAGCATGCTTACCATGTGGCTAGATGCTTATGTGATAAACTGTCTGAATGCCTGTGGGTGAAGGTTGGATTGTCTGAGTTGGAAAAACTCGTTGAAATCCGTATTTTAGCCTACTTGCGAGTAGCAAATTCCAAAGTACTTTTTAAGACAAACGGATATGCAATGCTTATTTCCAAATTAGGCAATCTAGTCTATACTTGTTTGCTGTGCGCATAACATAGTAATGCTAGGCTAATAATTGGTTTAAGAACACATAACGTTTTCAAAAACGGATATCATGGTTAGTAGAGGCCGATCTTCGGATCGGGCGAGAGGGGGTGCTCATAGCTGACCTTCCCCAATCGTACCCAAGTTCCCGAGCCGAGGCAACTTTGGTGATGACGGACACGTGGCCTTTGGCACCGAGTCAGGGTTTCCTAAATTCTCCCATTTTAAAATATTTAGGTGGCGACTCTGTATCTGGAAAAGCAGTCCATGTTTGGCACTTCTTTTCAAAAATTTGTTTCTCAAAACGATTTGCCGGATTTGGACTCTTTGGTTCAGATTTAGGACCACAAACAAAATCGAGTCCGAATTGTAGCGTGTAGCGAGGGCCCCCCATGCGGGCGCGTCTACAGTTGGTATCTGTATAGCCTAAGTCACAAGTATCTGTATGCTCTGCTGTTGGTATCTGTATGATCTGCTGTTGGTATCTGTATGCTCTGCTATTGGTATCTGTATGCTCTGCTGTTTGGTATCATTCTGCTTTGCTGGTTGTATCTGTATGCTGTGTGAATGGATAGATCTACTGGGCTGCTGGTCTGGGTAATTTTGCTTCAGTTTTGCTTCAGTTTTTTGTGTTCAGTTTTGCTTTAGTATCTGTATAGCCTAATTTTGCTTCAATTTTGCTTCAGTTTTGTTGGGATGGGTAGCTTGCTGTTTGCATTTGATCCTGCTGTCTGTTGTGTTTTTTGTGTTGTTGTTGGTCCCTCACCAATAGTTCCGTTTTGGTGCTGTGCATCATCCCCCTCTCCCCTGTCCTTTCTTGTCCCCTTTATTGATGTATTTTCTCCTTCTTATAAAGGTTTTTTTCATCAATAAAGTTTTTGTTGATCAAAAAAAAAAAAAAAAAAAAAACAAAGAAAAAGGAAGCAGTCAATGTTAACAAAATAATACGTATAGCAGTGTGTACTATTTTTCTA